AAAGAAAGAAGCGGAGGATGATTTTAAGTTTTAAAAATGAATTTTTTTATTTTTTATTAATATTTTATGAAAAATCGGGTAAAGTGATACAGAATGTAAGAAAAATGGGATAAAGTGAGACAAAATGAGTTTGAAGGGGCAAAGTGAGACTTAAATACAATTTCAGGTGGAACCTATAACGTTATGTTATGTCCCCTCTAGTTGAAAGCTTTAGCCCGAGCTTACTTTGAGGAGGCCAGATGGTTCAATGAAGGATACACCCCAACCATGGAGGAGTATCTACCTGCTGCAATAGTTTCTACTGGTTACCACATGCTTTCAACTGTATCCTTACTTGGCATGGGAGATATTGTAACAAAAGACACATTTGAGTGGCTGTTCAGTGACCCAAAAATTGTTAGAGCTTCCGCGGCCATTTGTAGGTTAATGGACGATATTGTGACAAACAAGGTATAAAATATTCTTGTCATGCTAGATTAGGTATGCATGTTTAAAATGCAAAGTTTTATATTGGAAATTTGATAAAATAAAATACTATATATAATAAGTGGTTCCACACTAATAGCATCATGGCCTTCGGTGTTAAAAATCCACACTAGACTTTATTTGTGGTTAAGTTGGGAAAAACATTGGTGTTAGCAGTAGTAGTAAGAATAACAATCTGATTTTCTATAATATTATCGAATTAATATTTTGAATTTCTATATGCAGTTTGAGAAAGAGAGAGGCCATGTTGCTTGTACTATTGATTGCTACATGAAGCAATATGGGGTGTCGGAGCAAGAGGCAGTTGATGCTTTGAACAAGCAAGTGGTGGATCAGTGGAAGGACATAAACGAGGAGTTTCTTAGACCAACTGCAGCGCCAATGGCTGTCCTAATAAGAGCTCTTAACTTTGCAAAAGTGATGGATCTCCTTTACAAAGGTGACGATGGCTACACGCGTGTTGGTAAGGTGGTGAAGGATAAGATTGCTTCACATTTTATTGATCCAGTGCCAATTATATGAGTCTTTTTTTTATGTCAGACTGGCTTTCGGTCTTTGCACAAATAAGAGAGGGACCTCTATGCTTTGAGTTAGGTCCCTGCCAATAATGTATGGTTATTGATTAGATTTTAGCCCTTATTGGGAGAGAGGGGCTCTGGGGGCTTGAACTTTTTTTAAATGTGTAATAATGTTTATCCTACATGCATCAATGAAAAACATAAACCGACACTACTTGGGTCCTGAATGTTGAGGATTGTATCTTTTCCTTTTTTTTTAAATTTTTTTTTCATGTGGCACAATGACTAAAGAAACTTACCTTGTGGATGTCACCAATGATGCACTGCTACATGCTTAACTTTTTGACATGACAGTGTGTGTGATCTACTTAGAGTATTAGTTTTTTTTTTTTTTTTTTTT